GTCTGAAAGTACAAATCTCCCACCATCTCCTTTACAGCCTGAGAAGTTAGGGAGGGTCCCTCCTGAGCCTCTGCTCCACCCATTATGCAGCGGCAGGTTATGCCCTCTCTTATCTGACCTCTTTCTCTACTTATTATGCAGCTGTGATCTATGCCCTCTCTTATCTCACCATTCCCTAGGCAGCATCTCTTTGCCCTGTTTTCTCAAGATCTTTCTGACATCTCATTACAGTTTATTATGCTTTGCTGTTAAGCTAGGTTTAGGGCTTACACTGATGCTTCCCACTCAAAATAGTGAGAAATAGCTATCTGTTGTGCAATCATAGCTGGGGAAGGGAGGTTCTACAGCCTGAAAAAAAGAAAACTCATTGGTCCCAAGTGAACAGAAACAGTAGAGAACTGATTCAGCAACATGCAGCAGATAGGCTGTTCCTACATCTCATATTAGATGCATCTAATGACCTGGACTCCAGTCCCTAAAAGATTATGCCACAAGACTCTTATGGGCTTATGGGGAGGGGAAAAAAACAGCAGAAACTATTGGTCTTATTCTCACAATCTCTATTCTTCTCTTTTAATACTTCCTTTAGCAATATCCTGACAACTTTTGTTCTCTTCAGAAATGGCATGCCATGTTGGTGTAGTCCCCTGGTACCAGAAGAAATAATCTGGAGTCTAGCTGAAGCTCCTAAGAAAATGCTATTAATAGAGGAGAAGCCGGTGGGAGGAAAAATGCTGGCGGCACCTTGCAAAGGAGACAGGAGCAGTTGCCGGTAACGCGGAAGCTGTGCATACCCGAAAAAGGCGCGAAGCAACAGAAACCCCGCCTCCTGCGCTCGCCAGCTGGGCTCTGCTCTAGGAAGGCAAACCACTTCCGAAAACACCTTGCATTGAAACTGCAGGGACTCGTCCAGCAGTCACCGCAGAATCGGCAACGATTGAGTGCGGATTAAAAAAAACCAAAACTGTTGGGGTGTCACTCATCTGGCAAGTTACATGCAGGAACAAGGCAAAAACTAAGTATTTCTTCAGACAATGACTTAAGATGGTAATCCTGTGTTACCTTCACATCTTATGCTATAATTAGCACCTGACTCAAGGTATTCCTTTGATGTTGCTCCTACCCCTCTTAAAAATTACATTGACAACATCACATGTCTTTAAAATGGACATACATTTGTAGTATAGAGATACCCAGAGACGAAAGATAAACTAAAAAATTGTAGTCCACACTACAGAGAAAGCTTCTTCTATGGTAGAATTTTACTTTATTTGTATATCCATATGCTTTTTAATTTTAAGCTACTTTGCTGGCTAGTAATGAATATCTGGATAAAATAAAAACACAGGATAATAAAATACCAGAACTACTGAGAAATACATGTGAAAAGATTAACGTATGCATTTTGTTTATTCCATTCGAGGAGATTATATAATGTTCACACACACACACACACACGTCTTTCAAAATGAAAGAGTTATCTGTGTAGAGCTTACAACTGCTTTCTGCCTCTCTCTTTCTCTTTGCTTTGCCCTTTCAGATTCCCGTTTTTCATATTCTTTGCGATATTCTTCCCTCTTCAGCCTCTCATGCTGATACTCCTCGTAGCTGTCATATCTAAGAAACATAAGTTAACTGTTAAAATCAAGGGCCTGAATTTCCTGAGGACATAAATGAATATAGCCAGCATCATCCTTTTTTTTTTTTTGGCATATGCAAAACAAAACAAACTTAGATGTACTACCTGCATCTATGACCATATGGTGACCTGGATCGTGACCTTGAATGTAAGGGAGAACTTCTATTTGCCTGGGATCTACAATAACTGGAATCATAATAGTAAGATCTGTGGGGTAAATAAATAAATAAAAACCATTCAGGTTAGCTAGAAAGGGTGAACCGTTCATGTCATATGCCCTTAAAGCTTTCTGCCTAAGATTCCTTTTGCTGCTAAGATGGTTTTTCTCAGGATAATTCGTACATGCTCTTAGTCATATGAAGCACCTTGCTGAACCAGGCTCAGCTCTATTTAGGGTCCAGGATAAAGTATGGGCCAGGAATAGTTTTCTGTGGATATATCCATATATCAGCACGGAGATCGCACTTGGTTGTTTGTATCTACTCTCCTTTGATACATTTGTCCTCTTCTGATTCTTAAAAAGAAAAGAAAAGAAAAGAAAAGAAAAGAAAAGAAAAGAAAAGAAAAGAAAAGAAAAGAAAAGA